ATCAACGGAGGAATCAAAATCACGTCTGAAAAATCTTCAGCTGCAAATCGAAATGGAAATGGAAATCAAAACTGAAATGGAATTCTAAATCTAAATCGAAATTAAAATCAGTAGCATACCTCAGAGAAATCTTTGGGGTTTTGAAGAGATGRTAGAGAAATCAAACCACAAAGAGGGAGTTATATGGAGCGATAATTAAGGGATACATCAAATCGGTCACGTGAACATTGAAGGCAGAAACTCTGTTCTAGGTGATACATCAAAGCAGCGTCTGAAGACTGTGAGGGAAGAAAACAACATCTGAACCTACCAAAACCAGTTTTGACGCAGGGAGATACATGAAATAAGGAAGAAGAGGACTGAAGGAAGAAAGCAACTTATGAAGCATCCGTTTTTGGGTGGTTGCCTGGGTTTAAAAGCTTAGCATAAAAAACTTGTACATCTAGCTTCATGAGTTGTCATTAAGAGTTTTTTTAAATGTATGCATAAAATGGCAGTATTATGTGCCTTATGGTTTGTAATTAAGATATGAGTCTAAATGCTTATATATGTAGTATAGATATATATATGTTGCGAAAAATCTAAAATTATTTAACTATTTTTTACGTTTAACTCACCTAGCCGTAACGAGTATGAAAACATACAATCATACATCCCAATGGTATTTGACGAATTTTGTTCCGTAATATGCCAAAATAGTATTGATTTTTGTTATAATATATATATTTCGCATCAAATATATAAAATTTAAAAGTGAGCCAAAATGAAATGTGTCGTGGATCAATGGTCATCCAAAATGTCTTAAAAATTTTAATACCTTCTTAATCAATTTATTCGGAAAAAAAATGCATTATTATTTTAACAACATAGTTCTGTAATCATAATAATACATTAATTTGGGCAAAAATGTGGATTACCGATATGCAACCACAATCGGCCCCACACGAACCCGTCACCAAAGACACCAATGTGAGTGTGCGTTTTTGACTTATATTGTGGCCTCGGGTTAGATCCCATGCCCGTCTTGTATTTTTCGAAAAATCACCCCGCTTTGCCAAATATTAATACATTAATTACATAAATAAGTTAAAAATGACGTAAGTATGTCGATGAACCAAGCCAACTTATTTTGATCCTAAACTCGTTTTGATACGTTAAATATCGTGTTCGACCTGTCTATTTTGATACCTCTAAGTTGTCCTTTCTTATTAAGAAAACCATATTTTTTAGGAAGTCAAACTTTTGCTTTCCACTTGTTAAGGTAAAAAGTTTTTTTTTTTTAATATAAATTTGTACCCACTTTGTTGGACACTTATCTTTTCTAAACTAAGTAAGAAAAACATTTCGGTTACTAGTGCATATCTAATAATATAAAAATATAAGAGTTGTATATGAGTCTTGTAGTTCATACGAAAAATCATTTTTGTCAATTCAGAACGTTAAACTTTTACAGTTAAACAAAATAATTTTCACTAAACCTACCGTGTGGAATGCATTGGCCGGTCAAACTGAGGCAATTTGTTTTTATGATACTATTGAAACTGAGTGCAATTTTTTTCCTTTGGCAATTTGTTTTGTATGATACTATTGAAACCGAGTGCAATTACACATTTTTTTCCTTTGGCAAGAGCTTGGAATGTATTTTCTTATATACTCTCAAATAAATCTCTTACAATCATAATAAAATCACTTGAAGCACAAAAGTGATTTTAACCTCTTCTTACATAAGTGTATTTGTGTTGAAATTTTTTAACAAAACTATATGGTTTTACAGAGAACATCATTGAGCTTTTCAAGTGTCAAAAGGTTCTCAAATTATTGGACGAATACCTCTATTTAGACTCCAAAAAAATTCGCATACAGAGGACTATGGAGATTTTAATCTTTTTGTGGATGTTGTATATTTGGAAATTTAATCGTTCAAATCTGACGCAGGTCGGAGAATTGTGTCCTTGTGGACAACTACAACAGTCCCAATCTGTATATTAAAAAATTCCTTTTTTGATGAAACCACCATAGATTATGTGACACACAAATCACAAAAGTTGCGTTCCAGCTATATTCTTGTTTTCTAACCGAAGTCAAGTTTTAATACCAAAGTGGTAAAAAGATAAATATCAATTTTATAAATATCCCTTTACTCTAAAATAAATTGTTTAAAATCATTTATATTTAGATAGAAAAAGTATGTATTTATAAAGCTAATTTTATAAAATTTGCAAGATTGAAGTATAGATATCTTATCTAGTTTATAATTCTGGTCACTTGTTTTCTACCTTGGTATTTCATCTCGAAACTTGAATAATCTCTTAACTCGAGATAATTATTCATTTATGATCTTCGTAGCATCCCGAGTAATATAATCATATGTGCTCTTAAATTTAGGAAAACTAACAATTTTCTAATATCACATGTGTACAATTATACATCATATCATCGGTGTTTACAAGAATGATATGTTAGTCTTCTTGACATTTCTTCAACATGTCACCAAAAAACTAATTTTCAAATTTTGTCCCTAAAATAATGGACCGTTTTTAATAAATTGCTTACAGCATAAGTACTTATGGGTAAGAGTCACAAATGTCATTAACCTTATAGGGTAAGATTCTTCGCTATGAAAGTGGCAACATATATGCACCATCAGATTACACGGTAATTGTTTACCGGGTAAGACTCTCGTTTTTTGCCTTATATTTACCGGGTAAAATTCTCGGCCCTAGCCATGTTTATCCGAAAATCTAAATGACTTGGCAAGCGTTTGGTAGACAGCCTCCAAAATCTACAATTTCAGTTCAACAAGCTAAGTCGGAAAAAATTTATTTGTAGCGGCATGGCTCTAATATCAGCAAAAGTAGCGTTTTTTAGTTAATACATCACATTTTTACATTGTACGTTTTCTGTAAATAAAAAAGAGGAGGTTTAAAATTGAAAACCCCAAGCAATATGCATGATCGACTCTGATATCATCTTGAAACGCTTCAAAACCAAAAACAATATAGCGATCCTTTTATTGAATTAGAGTAGGTGCATTTTTCCAATTTATTTCCTTATTCCGTCAACTATTTATCTTGCATTTATATAATTACAATCTCACTTGACATTCTTTAGCAAATACATCTACTTTAATCTCATCTTTGAAATTTTCTTAATGTATTAAAAGAAATGGCGGTGAAAAATTCTAGTAAAAAATGTTATTCAATATAATCGCTCTCAAACTTGTACCATTACCCAAGACTAGTTCCAATATGTTTTGATTATATATAAAAATAACGAATAATATATATATATATATATAGAGAGAGAGAGAGAGAGAGAGAATGAATGAATGTGTTAAAACAAGAACAATGGCCACATATGAAAACACGAGAACGGTAATCGTTTACCGGGTAAGACTCTCGGTCGTAGCCATGTTAATCCGATAATTTAAGTAACCCCGTAAAGTAAAGTTTGGAAAACGGCTCCTAACTCAATCTACCAGGTTCAACCCTAAACTATTTATTTCCTTATTCAATCTATATAATTACAATCTCGCTTGACTTTCTTTACCGTATTTTAATCTCGTCTTTGAAATTTTCTTAATGTATTAAAAAAGAGGCGGTGAAAAATTATAGTGAAATATTGTTATTCAATATAATTGCTGTCAAACTTATACCATTGCAAAGACTAGCTCCAATATGTTGAATTAAGATGCACTTGTAAAGTATGATCATACAGTACGTTCCTTAGATCTTGTTTCCTTACAAGTGCCTAAGCCATCAAACAAGATTAACATTTACGAATAAAATATTAGAGCTTTTCAATCAAGAAACATATAATAAATTATTGGAATTAAAAAATTAGTATTTTGAATAAGTCACGATAATGGAAACAGGAACACCTATAAAAGCACAAACGCAGGACCAAAAACTCAAACCACCACCTTTCTTTTTCTTTTGAACACACACAATCTTCATTCTTCAATCTCTACTCTGAAAGACAATGGATCAAATTAAGCACACCTACGTCCAAGTCGACGGGCTGAAGCTCCACGTAGCCGAGATTGGGTCCGAATCAGCACCCCCGGTGCTTTTCTTTCATGGATTTCCGGAGATATCCTACACTTGGTGCCATCAGATGATTGCGGTTGCAAACGCGGGTTACAGAGCCATTGCACCGGATTACMGAGGATACGGACTATCCGACATCCCAGCAGAACCAGAGAAGACGTCATTCGCTGATCTGATTGCAGATACGGCCACCATCCTAGATTCTCTCGCGATATCTAAGGTGTTCGTGATTGGTAAGGATTTTGGATCGATGGTTGGCTATCTATTTGCCCTTTTCTTCCCAGAGAAACTTGCAGGAATCATAACACTCGGTATTCCATACATGCCCCCTGAGGCCTTGCAGCAACTTCAAACCCTCCCTGAAGGTTTCTACATGCGGAGATGGCAGGTACTACMCCCACCCTTTCTCACACTCTTTCCTTCTTTTAAATCTCCAATGCAGTTGAACTAACATTATAATTGAAATCTTTGTTAGGAACCTGGAAGAGCTGAAGCTGATTTCGATCGGTTTGATGCTAAAACAGTGGTGAGAAAGATCTACATTTTGTTTTCTAGAAGTGAAGTACCTATAGCCARTGAAAACCAGGAAGTATTGGATTTAGTGGAACCGTCGGCTCCTCTACCCTCTTGGTTCACGGAGGAGGATCTTGAGACCTATGGTGCTTYGTACACCAAGTCTGGATTTCTAACCGCGCTCCAAGTTCCTTACAGGTAATTTATCGAATCTATCCTGTTACAATATATAGATTTCTTTACAGACTTCTAATCTCGTA